GGAACAGAACCCCAAGGGCACAGAACAGCAAACCCAGCCCTCAGCAAACTACAGCATGAATCAGCTCTCAAATATTGTCCTTCTAGACACTGCTGTTATTAGTCTTATTATTTCTGATTGCCAGGGGCAGAGAGGAAAAAAACACAGGCAGGAAACGACCCAGTTGCTTTTATTTACCTCTATTATTATCTCCACCAAAATTTCTTACGTTTGTATGATATTTTCCCAAGCAACACTCAGAGAGATAAAACATTTTATGGTGGATGCCTCAGCACAAATGTTAATTACCTTTAAGGAAATGGGTTAAATAATGGTAATGTAATAAGGCAGCCACAAAGATGGACTAGACCAAGCCAGTGATCACTGAAGTAACTGTGCTGCTGCTGATGTGAAGAGGAATTAGATCAAGGTTTTCTTGAATTGTTCATGACTGAGATTAGAAAAGAAACACCTTATACTCTGCAATATCAATTTATGAGCAGACAGCCTGTTCAACACCGAGCAGCTGCCACCCTCCCAACCCCACATCACAGTCCTGGAGCTTAGGAAAGACTTTTGCAGAGAGATGTTGGATGGAAACGCTGTGGGGAGAGTCCAAGCCTCCCAGCACAGCAAAATGGGAGCTGAACTGCAGCCCAGTTTAATGGAAAGTGAAGCAAATGAGAAAAATCCCCCACAACATCCCTCAGTGATTTATACAGAGATAGGCTCAAAACACAACCATCCTTTGGGGGAAATATGCCTTGGTATCAGAATATATGAGTAAGTCAGTTTAATCCTTGGGAATGTACCTGTGCCCACCCACCCAAGACAAAAATGAAGGTTTAAACCATGACCATCACTATGCCACTCTGAAAAAAACACAGTGCACCAATGCTTTGAGTACTTCTGGCTCCAATTCTTGTTCCAAAGAGGATAAACAGGGAGAAGAACAGGTGCAGAAGAGGGTAAAAATGATGCCAAAGGTACAGCACAGGCTCCAAGTGTGGGGATCCAGGGAGCGTGGGAGGTTTTTGGCCTGTAAAAGAGGGACTGATCCAAAATCTTCAGCCACATGGAGAAAAGAATGTGTGTTCACTGATACTGGCAGTGTAAGATTTGGGGGCAGGAGGTGGGTTCAGACCAAACGAGAAGATTCCTGCCGACACCATGGAGTTAATTTGCTGCCTTGTGAGAAATTATCAAACTTTTTAGAGGGTTGTGTGAAGTCAGCGAAGAATTGATGAGGCTGGTGGAAAAAAAACATGAGCTGGCCCCCTCTCTTATCTTGCACCTGGCTAGAGCAAGGACTAACCACGGGGTGATGTCTGGGGGGGCAGCAGAGCTCTCACAGCCTGATGTTGAGGCCCAGAAAAGCCCCCACAGCTCTGTGCCAGCCGTGAGCTTCGCTCCCCCTCCACGGGCACAACAAGCCTTGCCATAAATCTGGGCGTATCAGGAGATAAGGATGCTTGCAAAGACCCTCTAGTGAAGGTCAGGCTGCCTTCACTGCCCTCAGTGAGTGAAGGAGGATCAAAACATTTATTTTACCTATTATATCAACCATAAATTCTGACTGAAAGCAGCCAAGACCCTCATCAAGCCCTATTTGCATATTAACTTTCACACCTCTAAGGATGCAAATGAAGAGAGGATATGCCTTACATGTGTGACCAAAGCCACCAAGTCCCATCTATAATTGTTCTACCCCTTTGGGAAGGGAGAAAAATTATAATATAAAAGAAGAGGGGTTTGAGGAAATAGAAGATGAAGAAGGGAAAAAAAAAAAAAAGAGGGAAAACAACTCTGTTTGCTCGGGATCAGTCTGTGGACTATGTCTCTCCTCCTCTCTTGAGTGGACACCTTTAGGTGAGCTTTGAGTCTCCAACTGTGTTGGAGCAAACTCAGGGATATATATATATGTAAGTATATATATATGTATATAACAGATCTCTGTTACTATACTTTCTGTCACACCACATATTAACACTGTAATTACTGCATTTATCACTGAAAACCCTTAATCTGCTTTCTTATTGCTTTAACAAACCTGACTATGGGGGAGTCTGGACTCAGTCAGACCAATATTATTGGATTAATAAATTACACTATTTGTGAATCTGTGATCACACAAGTTCTTATTGAACCAGATTTATAATGTTGAAACCAAACTATTTGTTAATCACGGAAGTTCTTATTGAACACGACCAGACTTAAGGTGCTGAATTGGTTAAAATCAAGAATTAAGCCCATCTGCACCCAGCCCCTCTGATCTCTGAGGACCAGCTGGATCACAAGGGGGGTTATTTCCTGCCAAATTTCTCTACCCTTAACACAACAAGCCTACAGGGTGTTTGCCAAGCTGGACCTTCACCCAGCACAGTCCACAGGGTAAAAAGTACCATTGAAAAGTGGTTCAGACTTTTGCCGAGACAAAAAAAACCCTCAGATTTCCTGTCTGCAGAGAAACTAAAGAGCAATATCTCCCAATACCTTTGCTCCCTCCTCTGAAATCTGTCCTTATCAAGCTACTTGAAGCTGTTCAGGCTGCATAAATAAATGAAATAAGGAAACATCAAGTGGATATTATTAGGGGGCAGATGCAGTGACCAGCTAACTGGACATGCCCCTGTCATTTTACCATCCAAACTGAGGTTTGCTGCATGCTCAAATCCTTGTACAAATAATTAATATAATTAACATCTCCCTCCTTTTACACTAGCAATTATCAGCCATGATCAGGCCTACAATGGGAAACAAGGGATAGGATTTGTATTTCTCATATCAAATGTAAAAGAAAAGGGAGAAAAGTCTTCCCAATATCAACAAAACCACAGGTCTTTCCATAAAAGTGGAGGGAAAATATATTAAAGATGTTTTTTTCACCCTTTGCAGTTTATCTTTAAAAAGTGAACGTTTTAGTGATTTGCTAACAAGAGCTAAAGAGTGGATATAACTTTAGGGTTTTAACCATTAAGCCCTTTCCCTAAAATTGGCAGGTTTCTTGGTTGTGTCAGTAAGTTGAACAGCCTGGAATTAGGGAGCCATCTCCAGGGCCTCCCAAATATAAGGATTTGGTTTTCTTTCCTTGGCAGGTGGTTTGCAAGACAACAAATCTGTCCATCTGTTTGAGCTTGAAAATGCAGCGGGGTTGGGGAGAAAGGAACAGCAAGGAGGATGTTATTTTTCTTGTTGTTACCTTTATTTATAGGATTTGTTTTGCTTCTCATGTTAAAGCAAGTTATACCTTGTGGTTTGTCTTGAGCTGAAAGGAGCATTGCCCTTAATATTGAATTAAATGTGCTGGAGAGGGGAAAGATTTCCACATTTTCATTAAAAATGAAGGTCAGTCTCGTCTTGAGCTGAGAAAATCCAGAAACACCATGTCACTGACCTGCAGCATGGAACTGTTCCCTCTTTTTTCTGGGGACAAGGGCAAAGAAAGGACATTCAGATCACTGAATTGGGTTGGGATTTGCAAACTTTGGGCCACTTGACCCCTTCTTACCAAGCAGATGTTTCAGAGGAAGCCAAATGCCACCAGCAGTGCTGGGTCACGTTCCCAGCATGGAAATACTGGGACATCTCCTTTCCCTGCCATCCCTGCCAACAAGGCCATGTGCCACCACCCTCTTCAGTGTCCCTCAGGGCTGAACCCAGCAGGGACTTCTGGCTGTGGATCTGCAATCTTCTCACTCTGGAGCTGGAGGAATCCCACAGTGAACATGGAAAATCCAGCTTTGCTGATGTCCTCAGCCTTGGTTTCTCTCCAGCCCATTGATGTGCTTAAAACAAATTAAAAAAAATATACATAAAAAAGTGAGAAACTAACAATTAACAAAGGAAGTGAATGAAAAGAGAAGGAAAAAGGAAATAAAAGAAAGGGAGAAGGGGAAAGCAGAGGCGAAGGGAAAGATGAAGAGATGTAGACTGGGAAAGGGATAAATAGGGGAAAATGGAGCAAAAGGGGGAAATGGGGAAAAAAAGAAAAAAGGGGAGAGAAGGGGGAAAAGAAAAAGAAAGATGGAAATGGAAACACAGGGGAAAAAAGGAAGAGGGAGGAAAGGGGAAATAGGGAAAGGAAATGTGGGAAATAAGAGAGGAAGGGCAGGAGAGGGAGAATGGGGAAAAGAGTAAAAGAGGAATAAAGGAGAAAAAGGGAAAATGGAAAAAGAGAAATGAAAAAAATGAAAATAGGAGAGAGAGAAGGGAAAGAGGAAAGAAAAGAAAGATGGAAACAGGAAAACAGAGAAAAGAAACAGGGAGGAAAGGGGGAAACAGTGAAAAGGAAACATGGGAAATAGAAGAGAAAGGGGGAGGAGACGGAGAAGAGGAGAAAAGGAAAAGGGAAATAAAGGGAAAAAAGAGAAATGGAAAAAGAGAAAGGGAAAAATGAAGAGGGAAGAGGAGAGGGAGAAGGGAAAGAGGAAAGAAAAGAAAGATGGAAACAGGGAAAAACAGAGAAAAGAAACAGGCAGGAAAGGGGGAAATAGTGAAAAGGAAACTTGGGAAATAGGAGAGAAAGCAGGAGGAGAGGGGGGAAAGGGAAATAAAGGAAAAAAGAGAAATGGAAAAAGAGGAAAGGAAAGAATGAAAAGGCAAGAGGAGAGGGAGAAGGGAAAGAGGAAAGAAAGGAGAAGGGAAGGGTAAAGAAGGAAATCAGGAGAAAAAAGATAAGAGAGGGGAAAAAAGGGGGGGGAGGAGGCAAAAGAAGGGAAAATTAATAAAGGGCAAAAGAAGACGGGGGAAAAAAATGGAAGGGGGAGGGAGGAAACGAGTGCAGTGAGGGAGTAGGAAGAGGGAAGGAGCGGAGGGAAGGAGCACCCCGGGCAGCGCTGTCCCCCCCGGGCCCGGCCGTACCTGGGCGGGCGGGGGGCGGTGCCGGGCCCGCCCCGTGCGGGGGGCGGTGCGGGAGGGGAGCGGGCTCGGGGCCGGGGCTGCCTCCTCCTCCTCTCCCTCCTCCTCCTCTCCCTCCTCCTCCTCTCCCTTCTCCTCCTCCTCCTCCTCCTCTCCCTCCGTGCCCCGCTGGATGCGCCCAGCCCGGCGCCGGGAGCCGAGCGCTGCCCGCCGCCGCTCCGCCGGGCTCCGGCCGGGATGGGGAATGTCGTCAGGATGGGGAACGCCGGCGGGATGGGGAAGAACGCGGTGCTGGGCGTCGCGGTGCTGCTTCTCGGCTGCCTCCTGTCCGCGGTGAGTGACCGAGGGGCTGCGGGATCCAGCGGGATCCAGCGGGACCCGCTCCCTGCGCTCGCTGTGCCGCGGGCAAACTTTGGGCAACTTTGGGAGCGCTGCCGGGTGAGGGCAGGTGGATCCGTTCGCTTCCCTAATCCCCCCGTCCAGATGTTTGCTGATCTGGCAAACAGCAGTCGCTTGGTTTCCCTTTTTATTCAGGTGTGCGTCCTCTCCGGGAGTGAGAGGCTCCCTTGAGCTGGAGGAATTCCCTTTGGGATTTTAGCGTTTTGTTTCACGACCGGCTCTCGGTTTCGCTGCCGTTCAGGTTTGCAGCCCGGCTTTCGCTTTGCTTCGGGTTTCTGTTCAGGAGCTCGGTGGTTCCATGCAAAGCTCTCCCCCGCCCCAAAACGGGGGATAACGGGATGAGAATTCCCAGAGGCGATTCAGCGGCAGGGCAGGGGGCTCTGGGGTGGGAGTGGGACCTTCCCCCAGCTGCCCACGGCAAGTTCCGCAAAGTGCTGCTCTCCAACAGCGCAACCTCATGTGGATGCGCTGTGTGAGGGAGGAGCAGGAGCTGGGAGCAAAGGATGTGTTTTCTGGCTGCCGTGTCCCTCCTGGATGTGATTTCCACGCTTGCGGGTCCCTTACTGGGGCAGTGCCGTTTCCTCCCCGGCCGCAGATGGTTCGTAGCTCGGTGCAGGATGAGCAAACGGGGCTGTTTCTGCTGGCGATGTGTCTGTGCTCACACACACAAATACACACACACGTGTGTGCGGGAGCTGATTCCCTGTGCCACCGGGACTCCTGCACATTTCTCTGAGCTACCTGGTCTAGTGGAAGGTGTCCCTGCCCATGGCAGGGGGCTGGAACTGGGTGATTTTTAAGGTCCCTTCGGAACCGTTCCGTGATTCTGTGATTTCAGGCTTTGTTCTCGCAGCCTTGTTTCCTTGCAGTGTTTGATTTCTAGTGAGCCCGTTTCTAATTCAGCAGGCTGGGGGAGGAGGGAGGTTGGGAGCTGGCTGTGTCTGAGTTTCCCTCTCACTCTTAACCTTCTCCCACACTTGTTTTCTCTCGGGAAGGTGAGGTTGCCTCACCAGCATCCCGAGGTTGCCCACTGGAACTGGGTTATGCTGTCAGTACTTTGTTGCTGACCACTTCTGTTTGCACTGCTGGGCTGGTGGGCATGGAATCATCTCAGAATGGCTTGAGTTGGAAGGGACCTCGAAGATCATCTCATTCCAATGCCCTTGCCATGGTCAGGGACATCTTTCAGTAGATCAGGTTGCTCAGAGCTCCATCCAGCCTGACCTTAAAGCAGAGTCAGACCAACCAAGCCAAGCTCAGAGTGGAAGTTAACCCAAATGTGTCACTGCATCACTCACCTCCCCTTTCTTCTCCCCTTGTCCCTCAAGAAATGAAACAAGTGGACTTATTTCAATTTTTTTTTTGGCTGTCACCACATGCCACCCAGCCATCTACATAGCCAAAGACTTTTTTGGTGGTAGAACAGGCTGTGAAAATGGATTAAAGCATTAAAAAAAAATGACCAGGCAATTAGTTCTTGGAATTCTACAGAGTTTGCTTTAGGGAAAAAAACAAAGTAGCTGATGTCCAGGGCTGGAACTGGGGACCGGGAGAAGGGGACAGTATTCCCATCAGCTGCTGGAGGTGCTCCAGCTTTTAATTCCACTGAAGCCCCTGGCAAAAATCCCATTTCTTTAAAGATTGTTGGCATGAAGAGATCCTCTGGGGCCAGATCCTGCAGAGGGGGAAGTCAGGCATCTGCTGAAGTTCACCCTGGAAGTGGTGACAGGACTGAGCCCTTTTACTGATGCTCTGGGGTAGTCATTGCTGTCAAAAAGCACAAAGCCCTAAAGGTTTGGGACAACACCAGGCACAGAGTGGGTGCAATCCTGTGACTCGTTCCTTTTCAAACCTTTCATTATTCTGTTGTGTTAATGTTCCTGGGACCTGGTTCATACTGGTGGGTTAAAAAGATTCACGTGCTCCTTATCAGCACTGATCTGCAAGGTGACCAGTACTGACATGCTTGAGAAAATCCCTCTTTGTTTTGTTTCTCAGCTTAAACCTTGGATTTTGTGCTCATTTTTAAAGCAAAAGTAGCTCTGCAATCGTAACCTGGCTCTGGGACCTGTGATGGCTCAGAAGAGTTTGGTTTGGTTGAGGGTTTTGGGTTTTTTTCTCAAATAATTTATTGTGCTAATTTTTATCGGTGCGTCCTTGGGAAAACTCTGAACGGGGAACAATCGGCTGATCAACAGGTTCAGTGCAATAAAAGCTTTGCAGCCATGTGGTTCCTAATTGCTGTTATAACCTCTCACCTCGGCCTCTCATGGTCTCCCAAGTGTGGAAGGAAAAAAGGGAATTGGGCAAATCTCATTTGCTGTAGTTCACCAGGCCACGCTCATCCAAGACCTGCCCTGGGCAGCTTTGAACAGTGGCAAGAAAAGGGCTAAAGTTGGTGGTGGGGGCACAATGTCAATGCACAATAATCCCTTTTAGGTTCTTTTGTGTCGTTTTGCCTTTTTGAGGATGAATTTAAGTTAATTTGGCCTGAAGAGCTACGAATTAGACACTTTTTTCAGTGTGTGTCTAGAAAATGAGATGTGGATAATTGGAAGCAGTTGGTGGATTCCACGTGCCTTCAGACTACGAGATCCTTGAATTAGCCAGATCTGCCCAGCTGGTGTAATCTGTACTTTTCTTCAGAGTTTTACTCTGCTCCAGCCATGAAATAGAATAAAAAAGAATGGAATGGAAAAGAGTAACAAACCCAGATCTGATCCTTCATCAGTCCGAGTGTAAATGCTGGAAATGGGACCAGTGGTGAAAAATCAGTTAAATTTAAGCTCGTGGCACAACCACTTCAGCTGCATCTGGTTCTCTTTCCTCCTGACATTGACTGAGAACCTAAAAAGTGAGATAAATATATTTTAAAGAAAATAATCACTGTTTTTGCCAAAAATACAAGATACTCACTAGAATCCTCAAGTCTAGTTCCTGCACCCAGCACAAAGATCCTTCAGCTTAACAACATGTGTTTAACAAAGGCCTTGCCACAAAGCCTCAGTGTACCACTGGGGGTGTGATTTATTAAATTTATACTTGTAGAAATGCATGACTGACTTTATTTAGGAGAACCAGTTGCCCAACCTTGTGTCTGGGTAGCTCTGAAAGTCTCGTCTCTTTATAAAGCTGAAAGTTTTCAGAGAACATTTATAATCAGCAATATATTTATTGTAGAAATTCTTATTTAGAGCACAACAGAAAAAAATTGAAAAATAGGCCAAAAAACCCCCCCCTGCATCTGAGTTAAAAACCTGCTCTGTGGAATATTTAAGGCTATTTCCAGCAGTGTGTTACTCCAGCCCACCAGTGTGTCAGCAGAGGGATTCACACCAGCATTATCACATCCTCCCTCCAGCCAAGAGGTCTGTCTCCAGCAGGAAAACTCCAGAGAACCAGGCAGGGTGGGAATTGTGATGTATTTTAAAAGGAGATGAGTCTTTAAAAAGAAAAAGGGATATTTGCCAAACACTCAGCATCAGGAGGAGGATGGGACCATGGACAGAGAAAGCTGCCTGGCTGGTGAATTTGGGAGTGAGGGTGGATTTTCCCCTTTTTACAGCACTTTAAAAATATTCTGGTTCAGACTCCTTCCTTTTGTAACATCAGTGGTGTGAGAGCCCCAGGGCTGCACCAGATAAAAATGCAAATTGGGGTGTGCTGTGTTTTGTGCTGAGTCTGTCAGGTGGTGGCTTGTGAGGCTGCCCTGACATTTTGGTTTTGTTTCGTTGTTTCCCAGTGGTGTGACTTTTCTGAGTCTCTTCTCTGTCTCTTCTCACTTGGCTTTCCAAGGAGGGGTCATGGAAGTTGGTGGATGCAAAGCAGGGGGATGCTCTGCACATTTGGCAGGTGGGGCGTGAGTAAGTGATGGGATCATGTCGGTGAAGAGGGGCTTTGGCTCTCCAGAGGCTGCCTTGGGAATGGCAAAAAGACAGAGTTTATATCAATATTCAGGGGGGAATAATAATAATAATAATAAATAATAAATAATAATAATAAAGGATAGCAGCTTTTCCCCTTTACCAGATGGTCTTCAGCACAAACAACTGGAAAGAGTGGTAACTTGTCAGAACCAATCTTCCACTTCATGTCCTGACTTAGTCTGGTAGGACTGGGAAGTTATCTGGTATTCCAGCTAGATTGTAGACACAAATCCTTTTGGGAGATGAAGAACAGAGGGAAGAGGGACAGGAATATCTCACTGTTCAGCATCAAGTGTCCAGTTTATTGGCAGCCTGAGGAAAGGCACCAGACACTGCGTAGATCAATGAGACCCAAGATATGATGATCTTGTTTTCAAGTCGGATCTGAGCTCACTTGGAGGGGATTTGTCACACTCTGCATGGCCTCAAATTCAGGAAAAGGCTCAAATTATCTGTGCAGGATAAAAACTGTTCCTCAAGTTTTGAGGGGGAACAGGACTCAGCTTGGTTTTGTGAACGCAGTGGGTCACATCCTGCCCTCAGACCAAGTCAGGCCCAGTGTGGCAGTGTCACTTCACTGCTGTGAGTGGGATCCCTACTGCATCCCACCAACTCCAGGGAAATGGGTATGTGGTTTTCCAATGCCTGGGAAAGGTTGTGGGATTAAATATAGCCCCATTCTCTGCTCTCATCAACTCTCTCTCTTCCGCATTGGAAAGAAGAGGAAAGTCCTTTGCAAGAACCAAAATCTGGGAAATGCAGCCAAGAAAAACCCTCAGTTCTGGGCCAAAAACATAAATAGAATGGGTTGGAGATGCTTGGAGACCCCAAAGCAGGAGGGGTTGGAGTTCTGGCCCATCAGGTGGGACAGAGAGCACGGATGGACAGAGAGACAGACTTGCCAAGCCTGCCTGTGCCATGGCACTGATTTGTCCTCCTGCCCTGTGCAGCCAGGCAGGGTTTCCCTCTGTGAGTGCTGAGTCCTTGCTGTCCCATTGCTCCCTCCCT